ATTTGTTGTTTATTTTATGTTTTACGTTCACATCGATGAATACGATGAAATTGGAGAAAATGATGCAAGAAAGGGAGTTAACCGATGTAAAAAGAGAAGATGAGGACTAAAATTCAAATAATCAAAAGTTAGCTTGGAGCGAGAAACGAAAGTCGAGAGTGCCATAATTCAATTGGACATGAAGAGAAGAGTAAGGATTTGATAGAAGTAAAAATGCAGGAAAAAAGGGAGCTTGTGGAAAGTTTAGGGGTCAAAATGCAATTGGCCCCAAAGAAGCTGCAAGTCGCGCGCCCTCACCTGTAGGCGAGGCGCGTGCCCTACACCAAGGTAGCCTCAACTGAGGTTGTCGAAACCCCTAAGGCCCGTGCTTCAAGGCAAACCGGAGAAAAAAATTACTTTCCTTATTTTATTTCGGAAATTTTTTAGGGCAATCTTTTAGGTATAATAGAAGGAAAATTTCCATGACTTTGGGGGAGGAGAGTCATATTTTGAGCAAAAAAGAGAGAAAACTTACATTGAAGAAGAAGGAATTCATCATTTTGGTCCGATTTTGAAAGTTTGAAATGAAGATTTCCATATTTTCTTCATATTTATGTGATATGGGTGATGACTTCCTTTTATTTTCTGTGTAATTCTTATATTAATATGTTATGCTAAGTTAAATTGTATTGGATGGATGATGAAACTATTTGATTTTTAGTTTTAATTCAAGACTTGTTATTTTTAGTCTAATTGTGAGGAAAAAATAGCAGGGCTACAAGAGAAAAGAAAGAGAGTCTATTGAGAGGAGGGAAAAATCAAATGTGAGTTTCTATGCAAAATAAAATTGTAAGATTGAGAGGATTTTAGTGAGAACTAACAAATACATCCCCAGATTGAATATATTTTTATTACAAGAACTCAAAGACTCATTCCATGAAAACTTATTTAGTGGAATATCACGCATTGAGTATCCAATTGATTTTATGCAAGTAAAAAAATCTATGAGTATTGAAAGATAAGCATTCAACTATGGCATGGTAAAGAATCAATACTCCACACATAGGTTAGATGGTGATCTAGCACATAGTAATATTTTTTCATATGGGGTATGTACTTTTACACATATTAATGCATCTAATATTTCTATGAGAATAACAAGTCATTTGTCACATGCATTCATAGGCAATCAATTAGCAGTTAATGATATGCTATTATATTGCAAGAAATTAATTGATCATGATAGACATTTGGGGTGCATTATTGGTGATTTGAGGCATGAGAATAAATATTTTAATCTTGAAGTCCTTAACTATTTTGGTTCGACTTTATGTAATATGTTGGGAACCAATATAGTATCTTCTACTACTTCTCTTACGCTATTGATATGTTTATGGTTTAAATCCATTAACTTTGTTTAGTTTAATTCCTTTAACTATTATTGTAAGTGGTATCTTAGATGGAAAACAGTGGATTAAATTATATGAATTTCAAGGTAGCAAAAGGAAGAAGCGTAAAGTATTCGAATTAGGTGATTGGGTTTGGGTGCTTAGGCAAAAATGGCTTATTCAAATGCAAAAGAGATCAAGATTATATCCTATAGGAGATGGATCATTCCACATCATTGAAAAGATTGAAACCAATGGCTACAATTTGAATCTTCAAGGTAAGTTTATGATTATTTGTATTTTTAATGTCTCTGATCTTTTTCTCTTTAATGTAGGTACTGATTCGAGGTTGAATCATTTCGAAAGGGATGATATGATCCAAGATAAGAGGGCAAGTTCGGACAAGGATTCATTAATCATTGAGGAAGGGCCTATTGCTAGGTCGAGAGTGAAGTGGGTCAAAGAAGCTATGAGATTGCTTGTTCAAGCAACAGTGGACGAAACATCAATCACAAGCAGCAAATGAACTAGTTTCATGTTGGGCCTGGAAGAAAAAATCAGATGGATCAATGTGGTTCAAACAACAGACGAGAGAGCTGTTCAGGACAACTATGCAAACAACTAAACGAAGTTGAAGGTTCAAGATACAACTATGCGACTGCATGCCACTAACCTATGCAGCTGCATAATTCAAACTGGGTCGAGAATTTTCAAAAATTTCATGTAATCTTTTATTTTAGTTAAAACTCTTGTATGGTATATATATTTTTATATCTTTTCAAACTTAATTCCGATTTCTAGCTAAGTTTTATGGGTTCCATATAAATATGACTCATTATATTCATTGTAAAACACACAATTTAAGAGATTTTACTGCAATGTATGTTGCTTTATTCTTGTTATTCATTG